CACTTGTGGTAGTCATTAATGTATCACCTTTAACTCATGTGAATTAAATTAATTTCAAGAAGCAGCCCATAGTATGTTTGCAGTGAATATGCTTTTCAATATAGCATCTTTATCATTTAGGATGGGGGGTTAGACTTAGAATGAGAGTATTAGATAAATTAAAGAATTAGAGCAGGTTTGAAGTGAATCCAGAGGTTGTAGAATTAACTTACTATCTTTTCAAAGCTATTAACTTCAGGGGGCATAGAGTGCAGGAATAAGGACAAGAATATATCCCCTTAACAATAACAGGTGCTTGCCTTCCCTTGAAGGTACAGAGCCATGAGTGAAGTAAAATGACTGAAGAAAAGAACATAAAGAGAAACCCCTCCTACAAACAAAAAATAATAAAAGAAGAAGTCTGAGTTAGGGCAGGAGCCAGAATAAAAAGGGAGATGAGGGACAATATGGTGGAGCAAGAGACTGAGTTGGACAGAGAGGACAGAAAAAAGAAAGAAATTTTAGGGTGGAATGAGGAAAAGAAAAAAGAGAGAGAGAAAAAAATAATTAAAAAAAAAAGAATTTGAAGGGCCTCTTTCAGACTGTCTCTGTTCTCATATTATACCACATGTACAGCCATATGCAGAACCGAATCCCCTGGTCTCAGCTAGCCAATGGCAGTTCTCCACGACTGAGACTGAACACAGTCTACAAGGCCTAACTTGAGTTTCCCTATCCTCAGGGTTGAACTCCACTCAGTTCTATTACAGGTTTCCCCTGCCCTTTCTTTAAAGATGTTCAAAGTTGGGATCTCAGAAAACTATCCTTCATGAGAACCTATGCCTCTGCAGAGTTGGTCTAAGGACTGGCCCAATCAGGAGGTTTGAGAATGGGGGGGAGGGGGGAGGTCGTGGGGGTATTTGAAGGGTGCCTGCGCGGCTACCTTCCTTACTGGGTCTGTTGTCACGCAGTCCAGGAGGTTGCACACCTGCCGGGTGATAGGCAGGCAGGCAGCTGAAGAGACCCCCCCTCCGGGGTCTTTGGGTCCTTGCTGGGTCTGTTGTCATGCAGTCTGGGAGGTTGCACACCCACCGGGTGATCTCAGGCAGGCAGGCAGCTGAAGAGACCCCCTCCAGGGTCTTTGAGTCCTTGCTGGGTCTCTAATATGCATTTTCTTAAGAACTAATGACATTCATTTTTTCATGTGTTAACTGGCTACTTCTGTGTCTTTTGTTAAGAAAAATCTGTTCACATCTTTTGCCTTTTTTTTTTTTTTTTTAAGAGATTGCTTTCTTGTGCAAGCCCTTTATGTTTTGGGCTTAAGTTCTGCCCAGTATCAGATATTTGTATTTTGTTTTGTTTTTTTCTGTTTGTTTGTTTGTTTTGAGACAGGGTTTCACTGTGTAGTTGAGACTGAACTGGAACTCAGTATGTAGTCCAGGCTGGTCTCGAATTTACAGCGATCCTCCTACCTTAGCCTCCCAAGTGCTGGAATTACAGGTATGTGCCACCACGCCTGGCTCAGATATTTGTATTTTTAATTGTTTTCTCAGTCTGTGACTTTTCTTTCATGGTACTGGGGATTGAACCCAGGGAACACTGAGCTGCACCCCTAGCCCTTTTTTATTTTGAGACAAGCTAAGTTACCTAAGCTCAAACTTGAGATTCTCCTGCCTTAGCCTTCCAAATTGCTAGGATTACAGATGTGAACCACCAGACCCTACTTGGCACATTTTTTTTCCTCTATTCTGTTGCTCTCCATGTGCTTCCTTATGTAGTTACCATATTGTCATGTTATTGTGTCTTTATTGTAAACCTTAAAGACAGAGTAAACCCTCCAATTTTCTTCTTTTTCAATATAGCCTTGGAAATTCTATGTCCTACGTGTTTTTACATAGATTTTAGAATCATCTCATCAATTTCTACCAAAAAAGTCTGCAGGAATTTTGATGTGATTATACTAATTCTGTAGACCACTTAGGGCACAATTAATGTCTTAACAATTTTTTAGTCTTCCAAACCATGAATGTGACATAATTTTTCATTTATTTAGGTTTTCTTTAATTTTGATGTTTATGGTTTTCAATGCATAGGTTTTCTGCATACTTTGTTAAATTTAACCCTAACTTTCCCATGATTTGGCATGCTATTTTAAGTGGTATTACATTTTGGAGGTAAGAGGATAGCTTGTGCCTAGCATCCATGAAGTTTTCAATTCAATAACCAGCCCTGGGTGGGTGGAGGAGTTTTTAAAACTTTGTTTTCCAGTTGTTTGTTGTTAGCACATAAAAAATACAGTTGATTTTTGAGTCTTCACTTTTTTATTCCATGTCCTTGCTAATTTTACATATTGATTTTTCTGTTCATTAGGATATTCTTTGAACAGATCAAATATACAAAGTAGTATAGACTTCTAACCATATTTAATCCTGCCTTACAAAAATAAAGATACATCTATACATATATAGATGTATCAATAGATATAAATAGATATATTTGTCCATTTGTGAAACATGTAAAGGTCCTTAGCATTAGGCGTGATCCTGAACTTTGTAGAAAAAGAGTCAAAGAACTTCCTAAGTAAGAGGACAGATTAAATAGTGGGTATATATGATAAAGTAAGATTACCCTAGAAGAAATATAAGCCAGGCCTACTAAAGACCTTTGCTTTCTTAACAAATAACCTGCTTTGAAGACATTTGAAATAATAAGCAGAAATATCTAAACTATAGACAGAATGAAAAGGATAGCTATAATTCACAAATTTCACACCTAACTTTTCCATCCCCTTTCAAGCTATAAACTCATATCTTGAAAATAAAAACACATATCCCACCCAAAATTTTCATCAGATTCTGTCATAAAGTCACAGAATTTAAAAGTAACAGGGAATTTTAAAACTATTTCAACTAAGTTCTTTACAGATAAGGAAATAAAGGTAAGTTCAATTCCTAAAACCAGTTAATAAACTGAAAGAACACTCCTGTTGCCTATACCAAGACATGGTCCTCAAAAGTTGGGTGCTTACAGATGACCAGTTTTTGTTCATATTTTCTTAATTTATTGTCTCCTGTACATCAAACACTATCCTAAAGATTAGATAAATGAAAAAATAGTAATATTATATCCCTGGACACACAAAATTTCCAGTCCAGCTGAGACAGTTAAGAAAAGAGATAATTAAAGTGATTTTTTAAAATAGTTTTATTCCCCTTCCAGATGTCTTCCTAAAGTCTTAAGGACATAATATACAGTGATACATGTATACCTGTGTTCATAGTGGCACAATTCACAATAGCTAAATCTGGGAAGCAGCCTACTTATTCAGCAACAGTTTAATGGATAAATAAAATGTGGTATCTAAATAGAAGAGAGTGCTATTCTGCCATAGAGGATAAATGTGAATCATTTGTAGGAAAATGGATTCACCTTGAGACCACGATATGAAGTGAAATAAGTCAGACACACAAGCTTAAATATTGCATGGTTTCTCTCATATGAGAAGCCAAAATATAAATAAAAACCCAAATAAAAGATAAATAATAGGAAAAAATGATACAAATGGTCTTGATAATGGTAATAAGATTATACTTATAGTATACCTTTTTAACAATATTTCAGTCAACGGTGGACTACACACACTATGATTATCCCATAAGAATATAATCAAGCTAAAAAGTTCCTGTCACCTAGAGATTTCATAACCATGTTAATGTTGTAGCATAACACATTACTCAAGCTTGTGGTGATGCTGATGTAAACAGACCTATTGTGCTGCCAGTCATGTAAATGTATAGCAGTACATTTATGTAAGTACATAGTGTTTGATAATGACAGTAAACAAACAATTATATTAGTAGTTTATGTAAAAAAGCCAGGTGCTTATAAAAAATAAAACTAGTTTTATTTAGTTAGTGATAATTAGTTGCAAAATACAGAAACTTATGTTGGCTTGAGTTAAAAGAGATTTGTTTTTTGTAAGGACTTGAGAAAATTATATGAAACCCAATAGCAGAAAGTACAGTCTCACCTCAACAGAACTGGGAAGGCAGCTTCTTCCTCCCTCCCTCTTTTCACTATTACTTTCTTTCCACTTGGCTTCAAGTATTTGTATCTACTTTTTTTTTTCCTTGTTTACTGATTACTTCTATGATCATTCATCCACTTGATTCTTCAGTGTGGGTTTCCCCTAATATCAGCCTCAGACCTTGAGTCCAACTGATTCATAATTCTGTACTTAGTTGAATTATTTATTGGCTCCTGAACTCGAAAATTTCGTGAGAGAGCCTCTCATTATCCCAGCTTGTTTCTATTCCTGGTCCCTCCAAATTCTTGAAGGCCATTGGCAGTGCAGGGTTTCTAAGATAAGATTATCTAATCTAAGAACATGAATGGGAAGAAATGATGGGTATCACTGGCTTGCAGTGGCATGTGAGCACATGGTGAAGCAGCATTCTATTTATGCTCCTAGTTATATATTCTAACGAAAGTTTCTTTTTTTTTTAGGTTTGAGTGCTTCAAGACAAAGAACTCAGTAAACTACCATCTGCTTTTTACCTTAGTTCTATTCAGTTTAATAGTAACCACAGTAAGTCATATTTTGTCTGTAACAGATTAAGTATGCAAATTTGCCATTTATGGAATTTGGCACATTTTGCTTCCTATATTTGCTTCAAGCTGTTCAAATTGAATTGTTTCTATGTACAACTAGAATATCTTATTTTTAGGGATTGTTCCTTTTCAAGTGTTGCTTTCTTTGCAGTTGAAATAATTTTTTTTCAAGGAGATAAGGTCAAAAGCAAATATTTAGAAGCAGTGGAAAAAACTAATTGTTCTCATGGCTGTGCATGTTACCTCCTCCTACTTGTTAAAGGCAAGAGATTGACTATTTTAATGGTTAACCTTGTCCTAGTAAGTTGAAGTAGCCAGTCACTTTTGATCCAATTCTTGTGTTCTTTTTCCTTCAAATGAATTGCATTTTGTACTCAGAAAATACTCATTTCAACAAACATTTATTGAAAATTTACATATAAGACACAGAAATACAAAGGTGACTAAAAAGTAGTTGGTCTCCATGAATTCATTCTGTTAGAAAAGTTAGACATATAAACAAAGAATTACATCAAAAGATAATTGCAGTGGTAGAGGTAAAAGCTATATAAAGATGAAAGAAGAGTCAGTCAAGACTGCTTGAGCATACATGATCCTTCATAGATGTGTAGCTTACATTTTTATCAGTGTAATTTAAAAAAAAGAGTTCAAAGAAAGCTTCAGAAAGGAAACACTTAAGTGGGATTTCAGTTGATGATTAAGAGTTTGTCAGGCCCCTGAAAACTTTAAATAGTCATTTATATGTTCAGAGGCATAAAACCTTGGAACAACATAGTGAATTACTATTTTTCATTCCTTACTACATGCCAGATATTGTACTGAGCATCTTCCATTTATTGTCCCATTAAATCACAACTGGTTTAATTGCCTACATGACATTGAAACATAAAACTAGGGATTGTGTATTGAGATGCATCTAAGTAAATATCTGAAGTGCATCTGTGTGCTGGACATTTTCATGTATTTTAGCTTATCATTCCTCATCACTATTATTCTTCATTATCTAGATAAGGAAAAGAATGAAACTTTTGCTCAGTGCATTTAAGTGGTGAGTTTGAAAATTGGCTGCTTAACTCTATGCCCAGTGTTTTTACTACTGTAGAACAGATCTGGGACAGAGCCTGTCAGCATCTTTGGCCCTCATTAGCATCCATGCCTCCTGTCCTTCTTTGATAGTAATACGGAAGCCTAAGAGGCCAAAGTAATACACAACAGATTTGAAATATTTTATTTACCATGGCAAGGCTAACACTCATAAGAGCTACCTGCAGGTACTGGCCCTCCTGTGGCATGCCACCTAATCTTACTGGTTTTTATATGGCTGGAGTCAGCTCCAAGTGGGATGAGTGGAAAAGGAGAGGTTTAGAATTTGCAGAGCAGTTGGAATACCCCTCCTCAATAATAGATTTCATTCACATGTGTTTCTTTTAATATCTTACAGGTTTATCTTAAGGTAAAAGAGCCTGTGTTCCATCAGGTAATTTTTTAAATTATCACCATTTATTTGTGTGTACATGATTGCTTATGTTTTCATTTTCTGGGAAATTATATGCACATATGATTTTGAAAATGTCCTAAGTAGTTAAGTATTTAAAACAATGGATACAGCTAGGCACAATGGTTCATGCCTTTAATCTCAGCACTCTGGAAGGCTGAGGCATGAGTTTTGCAAGTTCAAGGCCAGACTAGGTGATTTAGCAAGACCCAGTCTCAAAATTTAAAAAGGCTGTGGATGTGTGTAATTCAGTGCAAAAGCCTGGTGTTCAATTTCCAGTATCACAAATAAATGAATACATATATACACACATACATACATATAGGAGTTGCAGGCTGGGAGTATAGTATACCTCAGTGATAAGAGTGCTTGCCCAGCATGCACAGGGCCCCATTCAATCCTCTAGTACTAAAAAAAAAAAAAAATAAAGAAGGGACAAAAATAATAAAACAGAGGTTGCAAATTCTGGCTACAAGGTACAAAGGTACAAGAGATGCAAAAAAGATTGCAAAAGTGCCTACAGGAGCCAGGTGAAACAGGAAATACCTGGGACAGCCAATGGCCAGGTCCAGCTGGCAGTTAATACCCAGTGATTCAAATGTGGCATTGTTCTTACAAGCAGAAAAAAAGTATGGAGCATCATGTACATATACACATGAAGTCTTTTTATGATATGATCTAGAAAAGACAAACAGGGCCGGGGGTTTAGCTCACCAGTTCAGTGGCCTGCCTTGCAAGTGCAAGGACCTGAGTTCAATCCCCGGTACCAAAAAAAAAAAAGAAAAGACAAACAGGGCCGGGGGTTTAGCTCACCAGTTCAGTGGCCTGCCTTGCAAGTGCAAGGACCTGAGTTCAATCCCCGGTACCAAAAAAAAAAAAGAAAAGACAAACAGAGAAATCCTTGAATATTTTCCCCTTAATTTATTTTAAGATAGTGGGGGGACAGAGTACCAACATTTTTATTAAAATGAATTAAGGGGGAAATATTCAAGGATTTTTCAGTTTTTCCAGGTTGGCCTTGAACTTCAAAGTAATCTAGGGTGGCATCAAACTCATAGTTCTCCTGTTTCCCAAGTGCTGGGATTGCAGGTCTGTGCTTTATCCTAAATTTTTTTGATGTGAGAAGTTACTTATTCTGAAAGAAACAAACACAGGAAACTTTGCTGTACGTAGGAAATGATAAATTAAATACATGACGCTGTGAAACCTAAGCAAATCAAACCTGCAGACCTTAAGTAAAAAGAGTATTTATTAAGTGCAGTTATGTGCCTGGTACTATGCTCATTACTACCCAGACTTCTAATCTCACCAACAATCCTTCAAATTGGGGGCTATTTATGCATATTTTGAGGAACATGAACTGAGAGGTATTAGTAAGTTTTCCCTAAGTGACAGGAGCAGAGCCAAGATTGTAACTTAGATTTATCTGACTGCTGCCATCATTCTTTTAATTAACTAGCTAACAGGGCCAGAGATTCCACCTGCCTCACAAGCTCAAGGTCCTAAATTCAGTCCCTGGTACTAACAACAAAAAAAAATCTAGCAAACATAAATAAATAAATACACTTTTAAGAAGTGTCAGAGGCCTGCAGTTTTAAGATATTTTGTTTTTATATAAAAAAGCACACCTATAACTTTTTAAACTCAAGCTATACAGTAATCAACTAACTGAAATCTGTTAAAACAAATTCCATAACCTCATTTTTGGAGCTGGTTTTTTTCTAGGCCAGCTGGAAGCAGGTGTATTAAAGTAAAGATATAGGAAAAGACATCACCGTCTTGTTTACTGTTATTTCAAATGATGTCATTATTTATTTATGTTTTTGCTTAGATTTATTTATACAGTAAAAAAAGTTGAATTATGTAAAGAATCTTCAGGTTTTACAAATTTCTTGGGTTTTTTGGTTTTTTGTTTTTTGTTTTTTTTTCCGGAGGGTTTAGTACCAGGAATCAAACTCGGGGCCTTGTGCTTGTGAAGCAGGTGATGGCACCACTGAGCTAAATCCCTGGCCCATCTTGTTTCATTTATAAGCAAACAAAATTTGGAAATTGTGGGTTAATTTTTGTAAGTTTATAACCATCAATTTTCCATTTTTTATTTTAGACCTATTTGATACTATATTTATGTAGAAAAATAGCAACGTATTAATATTTGCTGCTGCAATGTCCATATATTTTTTCAGTAACAAATATTTTTTCTCTATGTAAATCAATAATATTTGCTGATAAAGAAGGGAAGGTGGGGGGACCAGGATTTAGCTCAGTGGCACCATGCCTGCCTCGCAAGTGCAGGGTCCTGAGTTCGATCCCTGTTACCACAAAAAAAAAAAAAAAAAAGGGAAGGAGGATGAAAATTAGGTCTATTCGTGTCCACTGTAGTTTATGACTTAGTCCTAGAGATTAAACTTCAGAATAGAAGGGAGTCTGGGGATGTAGTTCATGGGACAGTGTATTCTTAGAATATGCAATGTCCTGGGTTTGATCCCACAGCAATGTACATGCATACATACATACATACAAACAAAATAGGATTTCCAGATATTTAAACATGTGAAGGTAGGGTGGCAGACCCAGGGAGGGCATAGAAATTTTGTGTCAATTCTCCCATACTTCCCCCTGTTCACCTCTTCATCTGTATTCTTTGTAATTTCTTTTATTAGAAACTGCTAAACAATAAGCCTGGTTTCTACAGTGAACATTATGTTATTGAATTGAAAGTGTTAATATGAATACATTGTACACTATATAAGAAGAGAAATTTGTGATCAAAGTTAGCATCACCAGTAAAAGTACAAGTAGGTATCATGTTCCTCCTGATCTGAAGCACTGAAAAAGACATATCATTTATCTAGTATTCCTACCAAAAAATTCATAGACTGGGTTAATAATGAGGAAACACTAAACAAACCCAAACTAAAGGACACTGCACAAACTAACTCTATTATACCCTTCAAAAAATTCATAAAATGAAGAAAAACTGAGGAACTCTTCTAGAATAAAAAAACAAAGAAGGCATGCCTAAGTGTACCTTGAGTTTAAGATAAATAGGAATTTACAGGGATTTTGGTTTGGAGAGGAGTATGTTCAAATCCAAGGAAAAATAAGAAAGTATGATCAACTCATGTTTCAGTGCATAGATTTGGGGATTAGTTTTTCTGAGTCCAGAGCTTGGATTTATCCTGTGCTATGTGAATCTAGATAAGTTATTTAATCCTCTATGTCTCCATATCTTTACCTATAAGATGGAGATTAATAATAGTAATTCACAGGATTGTAGAATTAAATGAGAGTGCATGTAATATGCTTGTCATACTGCTGAATTTATATTAATAGATATTACTAGTAATTAAGCTAAGAAGAGATGTGCTCAGCTTTATATATTAGAAATTTGTGATTCTTGTATATGAAGGATGAATTAGTAGATTATAGACAGGAAAACACAACATCTAGTATTTATTTAAACACTGCCTTTGTGTCAAATAATTAATCAGATCTAAAGATAGAAAAATTAGATACCTTCTCAGCCTAGAAAGAAAACAAAAATAATACAATATATGGCTTGCTGTTCATTGTATTTATATTTTTGGTTTACTTGTGAGGTTAAGTTTTCTCAAAGTAAAATGTTAGGAAAACTAGCTTTTAAAAAAGAACAAAAATCAGTCAAGAATTGAAATTTTAATATGCATATTATCAGATCATAGGGCAATGAAACTAGAAATCAGTAGCAAAAAAACAAACTCTGCAAACATTTGGAAATTAAACAATACACTTAAATAATCAATGGGTTATAGAGGAAATTAAGGAAGAAATAAGGCATTTACTATAATTAAATGATAATGCCAGTTCAATATACCAGGAGTTAGTTATAGGGCACAATGAAAGCAGTCCTATAAAGGAACTTTATAGCAGTGACTGCCCACATCAGAAAGTCAGAACAACCTCAAATAAATAATCTAACAATATACATCAAGGTCCTAGAACAAGAACAGTCCAAACACAGAACTTGTACAAGGAAGGAAATTAAAAAGATTAGAGAAGAAATGAATGAAATAGAGACTAAAAAAAAAATACACACATAGAATCAGTGAATCAAAGAACTGCTTCTTTGGAAGAATAATTAAAATAGACAAAACTCTTAGTCTTACCCAAAATAGAAAGGAAAAGACACAAATTAATACAATTAGAAATGAAAAAGGTGAAATTACAACACACACTGTTGAAGTCCAGAAAATTATTAGCAACTACTTCACAAACATATGCCAAATAATTGGAGAACTCAGAAATGGAAAGATTCATAGAAAAATATGAATTGCCAAAACTGAACCAAGAAGACTCAGAAATCTTTATCAATACAATAATAGGCAGTGAAACTGAAGCAGAAAAAAAAAAAAAAAAAGCCTACCAACTAAAAAAAAAATCTCAAGACCTGATGGATTCGCAGCCAAATTCTGGATGAACTTTAGGGAAGATCTAACACCAGTACACCTCAAACTTTTTAATGAAATTGAGAGGGAAGGAGTACTTCTGAAATCATTCTCAGAAGCTAACATTATCCTAATCCCAAAACTAGACAAGGATTCAACCAAAAAAAAAAAAAAAAAAAAAAAAAGAACAGTAGGCCAATTTCTCTAATGAACATAGCTACAAAAGGCCTTAAGAAGATACTGGCAAATAGAAGGCAGTAAATCATTAAAAAGATGATACACCATGACCAAGCAGTCTTCATCTCAGGGATGCAAATATGGTTCAGTACATGCAAATCAGTAAATGCAATGCATCACAATAAACAGAAGCAAGGACAGAAATAACACAATCATCTCAACAGATGCAGAGAAAGCCCTCAGCAAAACTCAGCATCCATTCATTAATTTTAAAAAAAAAGCTGAAGAAAATAGGTAATAGAAAGTCCTCACCTCAGCATGATAAAAGTCTTTTGACCTTCCCTTCTGCCATCATATTAAATGAAGAAAAGCAGAAATCCT